GACAACCTCGCCCCCAGCAGAGCGCCGGCCCACCCCGCCTCATCTACACGCGGAGAGGAGACACCTCTAATACCTGCAGCAACAAAGAGAACATTTTAAAACGTGCTTAACACCGTTAATAATCAGGGAAATAGAAAGCAAAGCCACAAGGGAGATTACCTCACACCTGTTTGAATGGCAGTTCTAAAAAATACAAGAGGTAACCAATGCTCGCAAGAGGGGAAGAAAATGGAACCCTTGTACCACTGACGGACGTATAAATTGGTACTAGTAGAGAAAAAAGTATGATGGTTCCTAAAATATTAAAAGTAGAACTACCATATGAATCAGCAATTCCACTTCTTTGTACATACAGGGTGTCCCCCAAAAATGTATATACACTTTAACAGCTGATGACTCAATTTTGAAAATAAAATGTATTTTAATAAGCACTGCCTTTATAATTATTCAAAGTGTATGTATACATTTTTGGGGACACCCTGTATCTGAGAAAATGAAATCACTATCTCAAAGGGATATCTGCACCCCATGTTCAATGCAAATTATTCATAGTGGCCAAGACATGGAAACAACCTAAGTGTTCATCAATAGATGAATGGATAAGAAAATTGTGATATATATTTATGTATATATGTATGTATGCATGTACATACGTATTTATGTACATTATGTATGTATGTATGTATATTTATGTATACATATGTATTCACAAATGACATGGATGAATCTTAAGGGTATTATGCTAAAAGAAATAAGTCAGACAGAGAAAGACAAATACTGTACAATCTCACTAACATATGAAATCTAAAACACCCAAACTGCCCAGCCAGCGTGGCTCAGTGATTGAGCATCGACCTATGAACCAGGAGGTCATGGTTCAGTTCCCAGTCAGGGCACAGGCAGGTTGCAGGCTCCATCCTCAGTGGGGGAGGGGGGGCATGTAGGAGGCAGCTGATCAATGACTCTCTCTCATCACTGACATTTCTTTCTCTCTCCCCCTCTCCCTTCCTCTCTCTGAAATCAATAAAACCATATTTAAAAAAAACAAAAACTCATAGAACCAAAGAACGGACTGGTGGTGGGGACTGTAGGGTGGGAATGAATAAAAGTCATCAAAGGGTACAAACTTCTAGTTTCTGGGGATACAGTGTACAGCACAGTAACAAGAATTAACAATACTGTATTGTATATTTGAAAGTTCCTAAGAAAGTAGTTTTAAAGGTTCTCACCAGACATGCACTCACAACACACACACACATGCACACAAATAGTAGCATGTGAGATGAAGGATGTGTTAACATTATTGTGGCAACCATTTCTCAATATATACATATATCAAATCATTACATTATAGACCTTAAACTTCCATAATGTTATAACAAGCACACACCAGAACTTATTTTAAATCTTTCTAATCATTGGCAATTTGCTTCATTGTAGTTGCTATTAAAAGTCAACCAACTAGACAAATTGCTCAATATGAAAATCACAATGCACAAATTTATTTCTGAAGCACTCTCAAATTAGTCCTCTTTCCTACTTTTTATGTAACTTGTTATAAATGCAATAGAACACTGTAGTAAGAGTTCATTCTCACTTTCCCCAGAAAACAACAGATTATGAATATTTGACAGCTGTTCTTTCCTACAAGCCTGCTCCTCCCAAACATAAAGACTTGAATGCAATAATAAAATAGTTACCTTAAAATAGAAAAAAGAATGTCACTTAATAAAAAAGTGTACGAATGTACACAAATTATTATGAGAGAAAAATTGATATGTTCAATAATTAACATTAAAATTACTTTGAATAGATAATATAGATGCAAGCATACCACTGTTCTAACCTGTTAAACTTTGACTTACAAAGGCCAAATATATATTCTAAAAACAATATAACATTATCATCAGTTCACTTTATAATTGTTATTTTATTTTATTTTATTTTATTTTAAATATATCTTTATTGATTTTAGAGAGAGGAAAGGAGAGGGAAAGAGAGAGAGACAGAAACATCAATGAAAAGAGAGTCATCGATCAAGCCCGCAACCGGGCATGTGCCCTGACCGGAAATCGAACACTGGTCACCTGGGTGGCCTGGATCCTAGGTCGACGCTCAACCGCTGAGCCACGCCCGGCCCGGCTTGTTCTATTTTTTAAAAGCAATTATATAGTTAAATTTTTATGTTCCAAAATTAGTAATATAAAATATTATTAAAGAATGAGTAAACTACATAATATCTTTATGCATGCTTTAAAATATTTAGGAAATTTGGAAATATGAAAATAATGAGAGCAAACTGGATAATAATTACATACCACAGCAACTCCTGCGGAATAATCCTTATTACATATTTTTCCAGGAACTGTGGCTCCTATGAAGTGAATTTGTTTCTTGAAGCTAAAAAAATAAGAATTTCCTCATAATTGTGTTTAAGAGCGGTATTATTATCAGATAAGAAGAAAACATAAAAGGCATCCAAATTGGAAAGGAGGAAGTACAACTGTCACTATCGCTGATGACATGATATTGTACATAGAAAACCCCAAAGACTCCACCAAAACACTACTAGATTTAATAAATGAATTTGGCAATGTAGCAGGATACAAAATTAACACCCAGAAATCATCAGAATGGCTATCGTCAATAAATCAACAAACAAGTGCTGGCGAGGATGTGGAGAAAAAGCAACACTAGTGCACTGCTGATGGGAACGCAGACTGGTAAAGCCACTATGGAAAACAGTGTGGAGTGTCCTCAAAAAATTAGACATGGAGCTGCCTTTTGACCCAGTGATCCCACTTCTAGGAATATATCCTAAGCCTGAAACACCAATCAGAAAGATTATCTGCACCCCTATGTTCATAGCACCATTATTTACAATAGCTAAGATCTGGAGACAACCCAAGTGCCCATCAGTAGATGAGTGGATAAAAAAGTTGTGGGGCATTCACACCATGGAATACTATGCAGCTGTCAGAAAGAAGGATCTCTTATCCTGTGAGACAGCATAGAGGGACCTGGAGAGTATTCTGCCGAGTGAAATAAGCCAGTCAAAGGAAGACAAATATCACATGACCTCACTCATATGTGGAATCTAATGAACAAAATAAACTCACGAACAAAATAGGCCCAGAGACACTGAAGCATGCAACAGACTGAAGTACAGCAGAGGGGTAGGGGTGGGAGGAGATTAACTAAAGAACTTATATGCATATATGAATAACCCCAGGACAGAGACAAATAGTGTGGTAAAAGCCTGGGGAGGGGGTGGGACTGGGGTGGAAGGGTGCAATGGGGGAAACAAAGGGAACATCTGTAATACTTTCAACAATAAAGACAATTTTTTAAAAAAAGAAAATAGGACTGTTTCCATTGTTTCATTGTCATAAATTATGCTCTAATAATCATTCCTTGCATAATTTTTGTCCTTGTATCTTATTAATCAACCAAATGGTATGAACATATTTAAGTTTAATATATATAAATTCTTTTAATAAAGATTTAGCACTTATACTATCACTAAGAGACTATTTATCTCATTAGACTAACTAGTAAATGAATATATTTACTTTTAAAATCTGCTAATCAGGCAGGCAAAATGAAATCTTGTTAGAGAAAATGCTAGACTTAATTACTCATGAAACAGAAAGTTATCTATTTATAAAACAATTATAGTTCTTTTACTGTGACTTATACGCTCACATCAATTTCCTACTTTTTCTATGTGGCATTGTTTTTCTCTTATTGATTCACAAACTTCTTTATATATACCTATCATAGAATCAAATATTTTCCAAAATTTCATAAATGTTCAAATATTTTTTTCTATTTATTTTTATTTCTCCTATATGGAAATTTAAGTCATGCTTTGTATTGCCTCTATTACTCTTCATTTACTTTTATTTTGTTTTTATGCTTTTTTATAATATAGAAATTTTAAAATCATATATTTTTATCTCTTCTATCACTTACATTTTAAAAGTCTTTCTTCTTATCAAGACATTTCAAAATGCTTGTTACTATTTTCTTCTAATTTTATACATGTATTTTTCCCCCCATGTAATCCTTTAATGTATTTTGTGTGTGATATAAGAACTTAAGTGGATTGTTTCCAAATATCCATGCCCAGATTTTTTGAGACATCTTTTTATCACATTTAAAATTCTCACGCATATCATGGTATAATAGTGTTTTATTGCCTTCTGTTCACCCCTCGGGTGAGGAAGGGTTCTCACTTAGGATTATAGGGTTGGTCAAACATAGGACACCCAACTCTAGAAAGGTTAGATAGACAGCAGTGGTTTATTAGTCACATGTACTTACAGGCCAAGGTAGGAGCCATGCAGGACCGCACAGAGGTTGCACTTGGAAAACAGTGAACAATCAGAGGCTATGAGAGGCAGGCTTTGTAGTATCATAAGGATGAGTTCTCCCTGGTTCCCATGGGTAGATAGGATTGACTTGCTTGAATAATTCTGCCAGTTGGCAGAGAACTGAAACTTGCTACTCAGAGATAAGTGGAAATTGCACTTGATCCATCTCCCTGTGGGGAGAGGAGTTATTTGGCCAAGGACTCTTTTCCATGGGGAGGAAACCTCACAGCTAGGCCATCTGAGGCCCTCCCACTTTCGCCTTATGTCAAGGCATACATAATATTGCAATGAGTTCATAAGTATCCGCTTTAAAATTTTTCTTTGAACTGTAAACACTTCCTCTCTTTTTCTTTGTCTTTCTCTCTGTCTTTATGTCTCTCTTTCTTTTATATGTGATAATTTANGGGGAGGGTGTCAATGGAGGGGGGGAAAGGCGACATCTGTAAAATGTTCAACAATAAAGATAATTTTTTAAAACTTAGTATTATTGATGATAAATTTTCAAAAGCATTAAGTGAACAATTACTATGTCCTAAGCACCATGCTGCTCTGAATTAAGCTAATGTGAACACATTTTTCTTATACCTACAACATTAAGAATATTTCAATATATATGCAAATTTGGTGTTTGATAAACACTCAGAAGTATAATAAGGATAAAGCCTAACAATTATGACAAATGCATTTGCACAAATGGTTACAGCTTTTATTTTGGTTCCCTGGACATTGACAGCCCTGAAAATTCAATTTTCTCTGACCTCCTTATTCAATTATTTACTGTAAGTAAACAAATTATGCACATAAGATTCTAGATAGGGTAACAATTCAATATATTTATGTTATTAGAAAGTAAAAATATAAAAATTAATCCGATGAGAGACACAATGTAGAGATAATATAACAGGTAGTAAAAGTTTATAAACCAAGCAACATTAAAGTGTATCACTCATAATTAATTTCCTTTAATTATTTCAATCTTTTAATGTAAGTTCCCTTTTATCAGGTTAATTTATGTCAGTTGATAGAAATTTTTAAAACTTGCTTCACATTAGCTCAAAGACAAGGACTTTAAATTACATTTTTCCTATTCCAATCATGTCTACCAAATTTACAGAATACAGTATATATTAAATAGATGCTTATTTTTCATACTTAACATATGAAATCATTTTGCATTCTCCCTATAATGCTATCCATACAAAACACTACACTCACGCAAGTAAGTATGCAGCACGATGAGGTTGGGAGACATGATTAAATTTCCAATCTACAAATCTATGCAATATTTGAAGAGGACTTCCAAAAGTAGAAATTTTGTTTTTATTTGACCAGATGTCTATGGAAGATATTACAACAGTCAGTTTTAACTGACTAAGCATCTAAAGAGAAGATAAATTTTAAAATTTAGATAAACTTAAACGTTATATTAAACTTATATAAAAAATATATTTAAGACATTTAATTTGGTATTTTGATCATGGAAACTCCTCAACAGCACAACTAAATACTATATACATCCATACATATTACATTTACTTTTACAAAATACACAAACAAAAGTTTTTAAAAACTTACAGTGTTAAGGAGTCCGATTATCTCAATAACCTTCTGTGTTACAGCCTTTATATCAGAGCCCATATAATCAAACTGAAAAAGATAAATTACTTTTAAACACTAGAGGATGCCATTAATATATCACATACCCTTTATATACACAGTGTACTACATCCTAAATTAGTGATAGAACTACATTCCAATTGTAATCCAAGTAATGAATAATGATGTATAAATAATGATTTATAAAAATAATATAATTTACACAATAAATCAAAACATTTCATAACATGATTTTGTATTTCTTTCTTCTTTTGTGATAATTATTTTTAAAAAACTTCAATGATAGTTCTACAGTTATAAATTTTTAACTAAATGTATTGGGGTAACATTGGTTAATAAAATCATATAGGCTTCAAGTATACAATTCTATGAAGTGCCTAGCTAGCTCAGTCCAGAGCTTGAGACACTTAATAACATGATTTTAAGCAATGTTTAATGCACTTAACTTGTTTCCTTAATTATTATGTATGAAAACTGAATCCTAACTTTTTTTTTTAAAATATATCTTTATTGATTTCAGAGAGAGGAAAGGAGAGGGAGAGACAGAGAAAGAAACATCAATGATGAGAGAGTCATTGATGAGCCCCCACCCTGGGCATTTGCCCTGACCAGGAATCGAACCCAGAACGCCTGGATCCTAGGTCGACGCTCAACCGCTGAGCCATGCCCGGCCGGGCTGAATCCTAACTTTTTAAAATGTGGTATTTCATAAATGAATGGGACTTTATCAAACTACAAAGCTTCTGCACAGCAAAAGAAACCACCAACAAAACAAACAGGCAACCAACCAAATGGGAGAAGGTATTTGCAAACAGCTCTGGCAAGGGGTTAACATCCAAAATATGTAAAGAACTCGTATCACTCAATACCAAACAACAATCCTATTAAAAAATGGGCAGAGGTCCTGAACAGGCACTTCTCCCAAGACACACAAATGGCCAACAGATACATATGAAAAGATGCTCAACTTCACCAGCTCTTAGACAAATGCAAATCAAAACTACAATGAGATACCACGTCACACCTCTTGGAATGGCTTTTATCAACAAGACAACTACCAGTTAGTGTTGTAGAAGTTGTGGAGAAAAAGGAATCCTTCATTCACTACTGGCGGGACTGTAAACTGGTACAGCCTCTATGGAAATACCCTCAAAAATTAATAATCATATATGGGATATAAAACTGAAAACAACCAATGAACAGACAAGAAAAACAAAGAAAAACTCAGACACAGACAATAGTATGGTGGTTATCAGAGGGAAGGAAGATGGAAAGGCAGTAAAGGGCAAACAGGTCAAATATATGGAGATGAAAGATCATTTGACTTTCGGTAGGGGGCACACAATGCAATGTACAGATCAAGTATCATAGAAATGTACACTTGAAACCTATATAATCTTATTAACCAACATCACCCCAATAAATTTAATAAAAAGAAATAAGAAAAAATAGAGTTCCCATATGACCCAGCAACTCCTCTTCTGGGTATCTACCTGAAAATTTTTGAAACATTTATTCATAAAGATATATGCACCCCTATGTTCATTACAGCACTATTCATGGTGGCCAAGACATGAAAACAACAGAAAATGCCTTTGATAGATGATTGGATAACGAAGGTATGGTACATATATACAAGGAATACTATTCAGCCCTAACAAAAGATAAAACACTGCCATTTGTCTTGCTTTTAATTAATCTTTAGCTTTTGTTTTTAATTGCAGTACTTATTCCCACTATGGCTAATATATCTGAGTTGAAATTATTTATATATCTGAGTTGAAATCTTTTATCTTAACCTTAGCTTTTAAATCTGTTCCATATTTATGAAACAAATGTTCAATGCATAACGTTTTCTTTCCCTTTGTTGTCTTCTTTTTGTTTATAATGCTTAAAATTCTGATTACCAACTTTAATTGCTTTGTAATTTTACAGGAATATGATTGTAGAGTGCATATTGGCTTTGAACTGGGCCAACTTAGCTGTAATAAAAAGCTCTCCAACTCTTTAGCGAGCCACGCACTTCCATTTTTGTTAATTTTGCCAACAATTATGTCCCTATCTTCACTTCTTTGAGAATCAACTGACTTCCTTTAGAAAAAAAAATTGTTTTATAACCTATATCTTAAAATATTAATATCTGAAGGTTTTGTGGATCTAAATCTATTAAAATTGTTCACTGTGGCTAATTTTCTAATGGATTTTGAGCTTATCCATGGCTGATATTAACCTGTGGGAATCCAGGGAGAAATACCATTTGCTTCTATCAGGTGCCCTCAAATCTTACCAACCTAGGACAAATACAGTCTCATAGCTTAGAATCCCCTAATCATCTATGTTGTACAAATTCAAAACTTAAACTCATACAAGATCTGAAGTATAGCCATGAATCCTCAGTATCAAAATTTTGTTCATTTCTTTTTCTGTCATTTCATTTACTTAGCACTGAGAACAAAACTGATAACTTGTTTTCTTCCTTTGCCTGAAAGAGGTGCCTTATGTGTTTAGTGCACTGCCCTACCAATTAGGCTAAGGCAGTTAAATTTTATTGCATGTGGGGTCGAGGGTTTGGGGAAATTCCAATCTATACTTCTTTCATTGAGAATGCAGTCCTTTTGAAAAAAAGGAAAAATAATAGATGAGGTTTAGAAAATGAAAAGATGCTTCACTTGACAAATGCAATCAGAGATCATATATACAAAATAAATCAATTAACCAAAACGGCTTAGCCACAACTTTAAGAATTTATTCACTGCTCTTAAAGCAAAATAAACATCAAATGCTGGTTCAAAATCTTTATTACATCGTTGAAATCAAGTTAAAGACATGTTAAATAATTTTAAAATAATGTATAAAAAAGGACCTACCAGATTTTTATCCACAACAATATATATTTCAAGGTATTGAGGAAATAACTTGAAAAATTCAACTCTCTGAAAAAAAACACAATATGAATACTGAGGAATTTCTAAAATTTTACCTTCTATTAAAATTATATTCAAAGATAAACTGAGAGACAAGTTGCTACCAATTATATAACAAGGGTAATTTCAAATACAGAATTTAGGTCCTATTTGGAAAATTCCAGTCCAAAAAGTGCCTATGGTTAAAAATAATTTTTAATGAGACCCCAAGCTATACAAGAACCCAGATATCTTTTGATTTTAGTAATATGTGAAATGGGAAATATTAACTTTATCACATACAACTTTTCTTTCCTTAGCCTTGTGATAATTTTCATAGTCATCTTCCATGTGGGAAGATTTTCTGCTATCAACTATTAGGAAACTACTTTTGGCAAACAATATAGTTTTAAAAATCATTACTCAAGTATGGTCAGTGGATTTCACTAGAGCGAGGATGTTATTTATGGCAGTTTACAGGTGCTTATGGAGGAGGAATTAATCCCTTTGCTTTACATGTACCTTATGTAAGCCACTGATGATATTCATTTCTGAACTCTCATGAAACACAGACTTAACTTAGAAATTAAGATCACATAAAATTTATATCATGCAAATTATCAGACAGTTGAGGAAAAGGAATAATTTACGTTAATTATCCAAATGCACACATGTAAAAATTACTTTTTTGGTGTCTTTAATCCTATATTCACATATCTGTTTTCAAGATTATTTACCTATGTGTTTGCTAAACTTTCATCTAATAACAAGTATAACAAAGAACTCAATTTCATTATCTATTTATTTATATTTCTTTATTGTTGACACTATCACAGATGTCTTCTATTCCCCCCATTTTTCCCCCCCTCCATTCAGCACCCTCCCCAGTCCTTCACCACATTATTGTCCGTATCCATGGGCTATGCATACATGCATATATGTTGTTTGGTTAATCTTTTCTTGTCCTTGCCCCACCCCTCTCCCCTCTGAGATTTCATTCTCTATTTATCTGTTTATTTTAAAAGTCATGCAGAAACCTCATGAAAAAGTAAAATCATTTTTATATTTGCAAGTCACAAAATTTTACTCTGAAATTAATCTTCAGTTCACAAAATTATACTGAATACATTAAAGTTAAAAAGTAAACACTTACTTCAGAATTTTTTCTAAGTTGATACTTGGAATTATTATAACTGTACATGTCTACGCCTAAGAGAGGAATGTTAATATTAGCATCTTTGTCTTCATAAATCATGTGTACAAATCCTGATGCAACCTCCATTGGTTCGATTCCATATGAGATGTTTTTCAACTGCAATGTTCCCCTGAATGTTGAAATAATCAAAACAAATCTAAAATGATTCTACCAAAACACTAAATTAATATTCTAATGAGAAATGTTAGCCAGATTTTTTTACACTTAAAGTCACCTTAGTTTTCTACTTTATCTCTTTATTTTTTGAAGTGTCACCCAGAACTGGACTAGCAATACTGCAGGATATGTGTTGCTTTATATTATAAATATTCTAACAGAAATATCTTAAAGAAACCATGCTGGTGGCATGGATACATGTGCGTAAACAGGTTAAGACCACTTCCTAGGGTACAGATTTTCTAAGCCAGTGTATAGGCATTCTCTCCCTAAGTTTTAGGTCACTTTCTTCCTCTCGGTTTTCCTTTTTATTTTTTTGTTAACCCTCACCTGAGGATACTTTTTCCACTGATTTTCAGAAAGAGAGGGAGGGAGAAAGGGAGAAAGGGGGAAGAGACAGGGAGAGAGAGAGAGAGAGAGAGAGAGAGAGAGAGACGGAGAGAAACATCGATGTTAGAAAGACACATCACTTGCTTGGTTGCCTCCCACATGTGTCCCGACCATGGCAGGGAATCAAACCTGCGACCCAGGTACGTGCCTTGACTGGGAACTGAACCCGAGACCCTTTGGTAGGACGGCAGAGGCTCTACCCACGGAGTTACACCTACCAGGGCCCTTTCTTCTTTTTAAGACACCTACGCTCTCCCTGACACTTAATGTTCGAAATAATTTAGTTTTTGTGGGCTGAACTGAAGACACTGACAGCCTAAAAATGATTGGAGCTGAGCCAAAATATCCATCAGATTGAGGTTTTTGACAATTGTCACCCATTCTAGGAAATTAAAAAAGCATTACAAATTTGGAAAAACTAAAGAAGTACAAAAAGACCAATCAACACCCACTACACTCAAGATTGCTCAAAGCCTCAAACAGAAGATCCTATCAGAATCAACAAGTTGCCTCCCATCAGGTACAGATGCTGTCAGGGTGACCAGCTCTATTTTATTAGTAATTCTTGCTCACTCGTTAGGGAATTGAAATAACAAAGGTAGAACCAGAAAAGATATATGGAGGATCAACTAATACACTAGCAGGATCGAATAATGGCAAATGGAATATATTTCCATTGGTTACAACCTGAGTCCTGAACAAATGTTGAGTGACACAAGAGAATTTGGAAAGCCTGCAATATATCCATAATAATTGCAATCCATCTGAAAAACACACACACACAAAAAAAAACACAAATGGATAACTCATTTTGAAAGTGGGCATCCCACATTTAACAATTGCATGTATAACATTAGCTACCTTAGTACATTACCATGAATGGCAATTACCTAATGAAGCTGTGCCAGGTAGAAGTAAGGACTAGTCCAGGTTATTAATTTTAGTGAATGTGTAAAATAATATTTCAGTAATTTTGGACTATTCATATTTTCACAGAAAATTCAGAATAAGAAATCTATAAGAAAAAAACACGTAAGTCTTACCTGATCTAACAAATGGTTAGTTTCTTGGGTGTCATGTTTGCCATAAGAATAAACAACAGAAGCCGAGGATAAAAACGATCTGGGCAGAAAGCACAAAAGCATGCTCAAGTTGTGAAACAGAAAATATAAAAAAAAAGTATTGTTCATCCTGCAAATTTTCTTTTTACTGGGGAATTTAAAGTAGTGCCAATTATCTTGGCATATCCTATTTTCCAAATACTCCTCTATCACTTACAATAAATTAGACACTGTGAGAGGCATTTTAACGATAGTGACATGTAATACCAAAGCTTGTGCTAATGAACAACCCAAATTGCTAGAAATATCAAATAGTAAAACAACATAGGTCCCAATTTCCAGCACAGGACTTTCAAATCTTTATTGTTCACTGATTTCAGATTTTAAACCTGAATCTCAAAATTAAAATGTAGGGGTAGAACACAATTTAGAAAGATTCCCTTTGCATGGCTACAAACTCATATTCAGTAAGCTTTGCTAACTACCAAGTTCTTCTCAACACACTTGGTCAGAATTTTCTTTCATTCTCCTCAGTAACTATTCAGACACTTGGCACAGCTCCTGTCAATCATCCCACATAACCTCCATGACACCTCACAGATAACCTGCACCCATCCTCACCTCTTATCTTTATTTCCAGAAAATGACTACTTTGGTTCAAA